CCCTCCCCAAGTTAGCCTAAAAACTGGTCATTTAACCCTAAGTGGGTTTAATTATCAAATCTTAATTACCCATGGTTAGCAACTCAAAGTCACTTTAATTCTTGGATTTTTTTCTGTTATTAGGTCACATTATGAAATCCCATTTAGTCACATTATGCCATGATACCTCAAGTTCATTAATTGTATGATTAGGCTCCTAAACCCTAATTAGGTTCATTTTTAGGGTTTAATCTTTAATTAGTGTATTATGCATAGTCCACCTCACTTAACCACTAGATTAATGTCCCAATTAGGTCTTAATGTTAATTTTAACATAGTGACCCTAAATTAATCACATATGGCCGAATTGCTTAGGTGTTTAAATTAGTATTTTTAAGCTTATTTCTTAGTCATTTCATTAGTTGATTAGTACCTACACTTAATTAATCCACTAATCCATGATTTCCTTATTTTTAACACAACTAATCCATATTATATCAAAGGGGGCAGATTTGATTAATTGTATTTATTAGGATATTTAGCCATCCTTAATCAAGATTAGTAGGTTTCACTTAAAGATCACCCACATAATTAATCTTTCTTAGTTCCTCTTAGGATTTTTTCACACTTAATCACTTCATAAAAAGTTTTAGTCATCAAACCCTAGATCCCATGACATGGCTGAATCATAGGTGTCTCATTTAGGGTTCAAGTTCATCCTTTTTCATGGAATCCACACAAGGATCCAAAGGTTGCACCGTTACACATCAAATCAACCATTTATTGGTTCAAAACTCACCCTCAAGAACAATCATCAAAACCTTTTCTTTTTAAAAAAATTTCAGCAACATACACCCCACCCATACACAAAATTGTGGCATAAAGAGGAGGAAATGAAGCCTTTTTAGGTCATCTTTTCCCAAGGTGAAGCTTACATCTTCAAGTTCACACCTTTAGCTCCAAGCTCCACCTTTTACCACAAAGAATGCTCCTTTAAACAAGAAGACACCTTCAAGAACATGCTCAAGAGTTAGAGCTCACAAGAGAGAAAGATGATACTTTTCAAGAAAGTTTAAGAACACTTACACTAGAACTCAAGAGAACTAAGCAAGGATGTGTTGTTCTTCAAGAGAACTCAAGAAAACTACTCCATGGTCCTTGAACTCCCAAAAACCATGGCTGTATGGTGGTGTGAGGAACTCAAAAATTTGATCCACACCATGAAAATGGTATGGTTGTGAAGAGGAGAGTGAGGGGAACAAGTTTGGTGAAGGAGATTTGGTGAGCTTTTGGAGATGAAATCTTATAGAGAAGTGAGAGAAAAGTTTGAAGTTTGGATTTTAGAGAAAGAAGTGAGAAAGGGTGCTGATTCAGAATGAGAGGGAAGGGGAACGGTGCCCTAATTAGGGGTGCCATGTCACTTTAGTGGCATTTGTCCTTTAGTGAGACCCGAGGTAATTTTTATCTGAACCGTCGTCAAATTTTTACTCGGAAACCCCCAAGACTCTAACTTTAAGTACTTAATATTAATTTTGTCTAATTATCATATTCATAACTTAAAAATTTGATTAGTAGATCACAGATCCACTAACATTTGTTTAATTGCATTGTAGTCTTTACCGGTGTTCTCAACTGTACCCAGATTTCATAATCTTCTTAACTTTAAATTTATTGGTCTAATTATGATTTTTTAGGAATATATTGGTCTTTATTTCTATTTTCTCATCTTTTTCCCGTTCCAGGATTCTACCGGCTGCTTCTACAGCAGTACAAAATACCTTGCAGAAGTGACTTTTCCAAAATATCCCAATATGGGTATGAAACTTCATCAAATCATATTCTAACCTCATTAATGATGTTTATAATATTAGATTATCTCGCTAACTATAATTTTCTAACTTAGAGCTACTCTATTGACTGTTACTGCATCAGCAGTCAAAAACAACAGCTGAAAATTCAACTGTTCAGAATACCCCCAATATGGGTATCAAACTTCATCAAATCTTGTGCTTACATTATTTATGATATTCATATCATTAGGATATCTCTCTAACTTAAATTCACTGTACTGAAACTATTCTAAAGTCTATTACTGCGTCAGCAGTCAAATAAACAGCAGATGAAAATTCACCTGACTGGAATACCCTCAATATGGGTATCCAAATTCTTAGAATTTTATTCTCATTCTATTTATGACCATAAGGTCCTCATCATAACCCTCTAATTTAAAAATCATGTAATTAGGGTTATTATATTCACCACGCCTTTTAAAAAGATTTTGTCCTCAAAATGGGATCATATCTGATATCAAAATCGAGATATCGCCGGAGAATATCATCCTCCCGCTCCCATGTGGCGTCCTCAGGTGTCAATCCTTCCCTTTGAATCTTGATCATAGGAATGACTTTATTTTGAAGCTGTTTCTCATCTCGAGCAAGAACCTTAGAAGGACCCATAACGAACTTCAAATCCTTCTTAACCTTTATGTCATCAGGTTGTATAATGTGTGAATCATCAGATATATATCTGCGAAGCTGAATCACATGGAAGACGTCATGTAGATTTGCCAAGTTGGGAGGTAGATCAAGTTGATAAGCCACAGGTCCGACCCTCTTTATTATCTTGTAGGGCCTAATGAACCATGGACTCAACTTTCTCACTTCCAAAGCACGCCCAACACCTGTAGTGGGTGATAATTGGATGAATTACATGATCCCCTTCAGATAACTCAAGGGGTCTGTGCTTGGCATCATAGTAACTCTTCTAACGGCTTTGGGCTTTCTTCAGCTGATCTCTGATCATCTCAATCTGCTATGCAGTCTCTTGGACCAAGTCTGGCCCCAATAACTGTCTTTCTCCAATCTCCGTCCAACAAGTAGGTGTTGTACACCTACGGCCATACAAGGCCTCATATGGAGCCATGCCTAAACTGGCATGATAATTGTTGTTGTAGGAGAACTCAACCAGTGGCAGGTACTTGTCCCAAGCATTACCCTGCTCAAGCACACATGCTCTCAACATGTCCTCAAGTGTCTGATTGGTCTTCTCTGTCTGACCATCTGTCTGTGGGTGATATGCACTCAATCTCAATTGAGTACCAAAAGCTTCATGTAACGCTTCCTAGAAGCGTGAAGTAAACTTCGGATCCCGATCCCTGATTATGCTTTTGGGAATGCCATGAAGCTTTACAATCTCTCTGACATATAGTTTGGCTAGCTGCTCTGTGGAGAAAGTCGTCTTGACTGGAATAAAGTGGGCGGATTTAGTCAATCTATCAACCACAACCCATATAGAATAAAATCCAGCCTGGCTTCTCGATAATCCAACAACAAAGTCCATGGATATACTCTTCCACTTCCACTCCAGAATCGCTAATGGCTGTAACAAACCCGAAGGCTTCTGATGCACAATTTTTACCTTCTGACAAATAAGGCACTTATTCATATAATGAGCTATGTCTTTCTTCATCCCAGACCACCAAAAATTCCGCTTCAAATCTTGTTACATCTTGGTTGCACATGGGTGGATGGTGTACTTACCCATATGACCCTCTGTTAACACTTCTTCAACCATTGGGTCCCTTCGGAACAATTAACCGTTTTTTGTACTATTTCACATTAGAAGTATCCGTGAATACAAACTCTTGCCCTTTCATCCCTTGAATTTCTTTATCAAGCAACTGGGCTGCTTTAACTCTTTCCACAAGTGAATTTAGGACCTCAACTGCAGTCATAAAATACGAAGTCTCAAGTGGTGTCATAGAATTTCTCAAATCCCTGAACTTCTCAATCAATTCATACTCTGCAATCATCATGCTAGCCACACTCGTAGTCTTTCTGCTCAAAGCATCAGCCACCACATTGGCCTTTCCAGGGTGATACTGAAGGTCAAACTCATAATCCTTCAGAAATTTTATCCATCTCCTTTGCCTCATATTTAGCTCTTTTTGATCGAACAAGTACTTCAAGCTTTTGTGGACACTATAAACGGTGAAATGCCGCCATATCTTCAAGGCAAAAACCACAGCTGCTAACTTAAGATCATGAGTAGGGTAGTTCTCTTCATGGGGTCTCAACTGTTTAGAAGCATAGGCCACTACCTTTCGCTCCTGCATCAACACGCACCCTAATCCATACTTAGATGCATCACAATAGATCTCAAATCTCTCTTCTGGGTCAGGAAGAATCAAAACTGGTGTGATAGTCAATTTATCCTTCAATTCTTGAAAACTCATATCACACCCAAGGGTCCATGCAAATGGCACCCCCTTTCGGGTTAATCTAGTCAATGGTAAAGCCATCCTAGAGAATCTATTGATAAATTTCCTGTAATATCCTGCTAAACCTAGAAAACTCCGGACTATGTAATACTCTTGGGTCTTTGCTAATCTAAAATTGTTTCTATCTTGCTTGGATCAACAGCTACTCCGTCAGAGGAAATGATGTGACCCAGAAACTGAATCTCAGACAACCAGAAATCATACTTGGATAGTTTCATATACAATTGATGCTCTCTCAAAATCTGTAAAACTATCCTCAGATGCTTTGCATGCTCTTCTTTGTTCTTGGAGTAGATCATAATATCATCAATGCAGACCACAAAAAATTGATTTAAGTAACGTTTGAAGATCCGGTTCATACTCATGAACACCACTGGGACATTTGTAAGCCCAAATGGAATCACTAGATACTCATAGTGCCCATATCTATATCGGAAAGCTGTCTTTGGAATATCTTCTGCTTTTACCCTGATCTAATGATATCCGGAACGAAGATCAATCTTCGAAAATACTGAAGCACCTTTAAGTTGATCCAAAAAATCATCATTGCGAGTATGGGGTACTTGTTCTTCACAGTCACCTTGTTCAATTGCCGGTAATCTGTGCACAACCTCATAGTTCCATCCTTCTTCTTCACAAAGATAACTTGTGCTCCCCAAGGAGACACATTAGGTCTAATGAAATTCTTGCTGGATAGATCTTCAATGTTCTTCTTCAACTCTACAAGTTCCACTGGTGACATCTAGTATGAAGCCAAAGAGATATGCCTCACATCAGGCACTAGGTCAATGGAGAATTCAATCTCCCTTTCTGGTGGAAACTGTGGGATCTCTTCTGGAAATACATCCTCAAAGTCACATACAATCAGGATACTAGAAGTTGGCTCCTTGGAGACACCAATCAATCCTCCTAACATGATATATCCTGCATCTCCCGTATTTAGAACCTTAATCATCTGCAACACTGATAAATATGGGGAGTCCTTCTTCTCATTCTTAGCAGAGAAATAATTCTTCATACTACAACAATCAATCATAACTCCATGTCTGACTAGTCAATCCATGCCTAGAATGATGTGCAGATTCATACCCTCAAGTACAATCAGATCAACCACATACTTTTTCTCTTCATAACTGAACTTGACTTCCTTACACATCAAAGAAGTGGAAACCAAGTCTCCTGTGGCAGTCTTCACTACCATAGGAGGCGTAAATGCATACATAGGTAAGTTCAAACCATTCGCAACAAAACCCAAAATAAAGGAGTGGGTGGCTCCTGAGTTAAATAATGCATCAAAATCATGGCCATCCATGGAAATGGTACTTCGGATTAGATTTGGAGACTTCTCTACTTCCTGCTAGGTGACAACATAAACTCGTGCAATTGGAGGTACTAGATTGCTCAGTAATGGAAGTCAGAATAGCCTGCATCGAAACAGCCTGAATAGCCGCAACCTGTCCCATTTTCCTCGGGCACTCTTTAGCAAAATGTCATGCTTGACCAAAATTGTAGCATAAATTTTGCCCAATTTGGCAGACACCATAATGAGACCTCTCACTCTTAGCACAAGTAGGAGTCTTCCCATTCCCAGTTCTTCCATTTTCCTTCTTAAAGTTCTCATTCCTCTTAGACTTGTCTCCATTTTGTTTCACGTGCAAGCCCTTGCTCTTCCCGTTCCAGGGAGTACTCTTCCTATGGAGACTCTTGCCTGCAGTATCCTTACCACGTGTCCTATAATACTCCTGTATGTCCTACTGTGGTGGTGGTGGTGGTGGAGGTCCTGCTCAAACCTCAGCCAATAATAGTCTCATCATCTTCACGTTCACCATTCTGTTCTGAGCCACGAGATCCTCACTGGTCTTCCTCATGTACTCCATGTCTCTCTCTCTGGCCTCAACCAACCTCTATAGATCAGCTTCCCTAGCAGTATTCAAGGTCTGCTGAAGAACTGCTAGAACAGCTGCTACGGGATCCGGTGTTGGATCCTCAACTACCCGACGGGTCCTCCTTTGAGGAGCCATGATAATTGCACACAACTACACCCGGAATGAGTTAGCTACGCTCATACAAGTGATGACATATGCATTATCAAAGCACTCAAGGAAACACTATATAGGTAGTTAACACTTAAGCAATAAATCAGTGAACGTCCCGGTGAAACTGCTCTGATACCATAAATATAACACCTCGTAGTACTCCAGTTATTAACATACATGATATTTAGCATACACATCAGAAGACTTATTTTAAAAGAATAATAAAATATCTTACAAAAATTACGAAGAAACTTTTTCCAAAACATTTTATGAAGACATTTCTAAAAACGTTCACGTGAGATACTGCGAAAGCTTAAATCTAAAACATACATCTACTAATCAAGTGTCAAGCTCTCTAGACAAACCTAGAGCAATTATCATTTACATCATTAATACAAAATCACTTAATGGTTCCACATTTCATTCTTACATGCCAATAATATGCCCATTACAAGTCTAGACCAATTATTACTTAATTACGTATTTTAGTGCATTATGAAGTTTTCACTTATTACACAATCAATCATGTAGTTTTAGCACTTTACATAATCTTAGAATCACACTCTAGGATCACAAGGATAAATTATATTATTTTCAACTCATCCAAGCCAGATATATAATTATTATAAGTTACTAAGGGTTCCCATAAGTCCACTTAGCCTAAATATCACTTTTACGTTTTTTTGCATAACTGTACATGCTTCTGTTTTTTAGTCACTGTGCGCAACTCGCTTGTTATAAAATTATCATATTTTAGTATGTTAATCTAGACACAATTAAATTTCCAAAAAGGTATCACATGCCTCATTTAGAGTTTTCTAGCTTCGGTTATCACCATTTGAAGTTGGACAAAACAAAGCGGCTTCCCAACTCCGAATAGAGCCCTAAACATCATTTACCATTTTTGTGATTCTGAGAAATTTACTAAACCAATTTCTCTAAAATTTTTATTTATGTAACTAGACATCTTCATCTTTAATTAGACATATTATTAGCCTAATTTTAGTAATAACATAGGGAGAAAATATTCATGGAAGTTGCAGCCATATACAGCCCCTGCACATGGCCTCCCAGGGCAGTCTCCACTCAATCGAACCTACAGAATGCTATACATCTTCAAATGGTACCAAACTTTGATAACATATAGCTAACATCTCCAGCTTCAAAATGATATAAGGAACATCTCTATAGGACCTTTGTGGAGGGAGATATTCCCTCCCCAAGTTAGCCTAAAAACTGGTCATTTAACCCTAAGTGGGTTTAATTATCAAATCTTAATTACCTATGGTTAGCAACTCTAAGTCACTTTAATTCTTATATTTTTTTCATTGAATCCACACAAAGATCCAAAGGTTGCACCTTTACACATCAAATCAACCATTTCTTAGTTCAAAACTCACACACCTTCAAGAACAATCATCAAAACCTTTTCCTTTTAAAAAATTTCAGCAACATACACCCCACCCATACACAAAATCATGGCATAAGGGGGAGAAAAGGAAGCCTTTTTGGGTCATCTTTTCCCAAGGTGAAGCTTACATCTTCAAGTTCACACCTTTAGCCCCAAGCTCCACCTTTTACCACCAAGAATGCTCCTTTAAACAAGAAGACACCTTCAAGAACATGCTCAAGAGTTAGAGCTCATGAACACAAGAGAAAAAGATGATATTTTTCAAGAAAGTTTAAAAACACTTACACTAGAACTCAAGAGAATTAAGCAAGGATGTGTTGTTCTTCAAGAGAACTCAAGAACACAACTCTATGGTCCTTGAACTCCCGAAAACCATGGTTGTATGGTGGTGTGAGGAACTCAAAAATTTGATCCACACCATGAAAATGGTATTGTTGTGAAGAGGAGAGTGAGGGGAACAAGTTTGGTGAAGGAGATTTGGTGATTTTGTAAGGTTTTGGAGATGAAATCTTAGAGAGAGATGAGAGCAAAGTTTGAAATTTGCATTTTAGAGAGAGAAAAAAGAAGGGGGGCTGATTCAGAATGAGGGAAAAGGGAAAGGGTTCCCTAATTAGGGGTGCCATGTCACTTTAGTGACTTTTGTCCTTTAGTGAGACCCGGTATAATTTTTATCTGAACCGTCGTCAAATTTTTACCCGAAAACCCCCCAAGACTCTAAATTTAAGTATGTAACATTAATTTTGTCTAATTATCATGTTCATAACTTAAAAATTTGATTAGTAGATCACAGATCCACTAACAGTTGTTTAATTGCACTGTCGTCTTTACCGGTGTTCTCAATTGAACCCGAATTTCATAATCTTCTTAGCTTTAACATTATTGGTCTAATTATGACTTGTTAGGCATATATTGGTCTTTATTTCCATTTTATCATCTTTTTTCCGTTCTGGGATTCTACCGGCTACTTCTACAGCAGTACAAAATACCCGACAAAAGTGACTTTTCCAAAATATCCCATTATGGGCATCAAACTTCATCAAATCATATTCTAACCTCATTAATGATGTTTATATTATTAGATTAGCTCTCTAACTATAATTTGCTAACTTGGAGCTATTCTACTGACTGTTACTGCGTCAGTAGTCAAAAACAACAGCTGAAAACTCAAATATTCAGAATACCCTCAATATGGGTATCAAACTTCATCAAATCTTTTGCTTACATTATTTATGAAATTTTTTGGGTGCAAACTTGTTGGTTGCTTAAAATATTATGAAGAAGGACGTTCCTTTATTTTAGTTCATTAAAGAGAAAACACATTTGTTCTCTTAACTTCAACCCAAGTGCGCAAGTGCACGCATCAAGTAATAAGTGGGACTATTAGTACCCAGATTATAATTCCCACGAGGATAGTACTCTAATTAATGCCTTAAACTATTTTAAAAAGAATGAAAATGAAAAGAAAAGTTAGTAATTGATCTGTTTGGTCAAGCGTTCCTTACTTTCCTGACAACGTTCCTCGAAAAAACAATAGGTTCAATCTAACAGCAAACAGCTCCTCGCGTCGTTATATATGAAGTCATTCCTGATGAGAGAAGGAACGACAATATTCGTTGGAGGTTTGTAGATACAAGATTGAATAAAGCAAGAATAACAATAGAAATAACAATATTTAAGAGACAACAATATGGAGGGTTTAAAACAGTTTTAACACAAGGAACGGATCCACTATTCCATTCTTAAATAGTTATAATCTCCACTCAGGACTTAAACATTCTGTATTTGTTCAGGTCTTTTCACTGCCAACTCTGATTCCTCAGCTCATGGAAACTTCTTTTCAACGTTTCCTGCAAAGTGGTCAGAGAGATTGAGTTAGTGGAGCAGGTGTATTTAATGTTCCCAATTTGTTCTCTTTTTTCTATATTTTCCGAAGAATTATGTCATCATTTGTTCCCCACTGTGTTTTTGTCATAAATATATAAAACATGTGTTTTTAGTGTTGAAGTTGCTCATCAGATGAGGGAACGAATGATATTTTGCCATCAAAATGGGCTTAGATGGGAACAAATTTCTGTCCCATCAAACACCCCAAAACTAAACTATTGGTTGTCCTCAAACAACTCAGAAATAGTGGCTTAGGCTGCTCAATTTCAAAGAATAGCTCAACTTCAGAAACTTAACCAATGAGTAATCATTATCTTTTCAAAGAATGAACTACTCTCCATAGATGACAAGCAGAAAGAATTTGTTCCAAGGTAAGTGAAGGTTGCTGACCTTCTGTCTCACTATCACTCAGGGCTTGGTGTTTCTTTGTCCATTCCTGGATGTGATTCTTCAAACTTGCTTATCTACTGTTTTCCTAAGAAGTACAAGTGTCTTCCATTTCAAAGGATCTTTGTGAGAGGGTTTGTGGAGGGGTTTAGAATGGAGTGGTCATAGGTCTTGGGTCAAGTAACGTTTTCACTTTTCTGTTTAAGAGCTGGACTTTTCTATTTGGGGGAACACCTTATCTTTTTGTACCTTCTTTTCTTCCTTGTGAGGAATCTTGTCTGGTATTTTTCTTTGAATTCTTTTGAATGGCTGTTCCCATTTTCTTTGTTTTCTATCTTTGTGTCCTTTCTGCTCATGTTGTTGTTGCTCCTTGACCTTTTCAATTGACCTGGTGTATTTAGAAATGTGTGTGGTTGTGTGGATGAATGTATGAAATGGAAGTGTTTTGATGGTTGATCCTTGGTTGTGGCTTTCACCTATTCTTCAACAGCACTTTCAGCATCAAAGCAGGTTCGAAAGTTTCATTGTGGTTACACCTTAGGAACGCTCTTATGAGTAAGTGTTTGGCATTCTTCGTTCCTCACCAATTTTAGTTCACATAGACCAACGTCCTTCAAAAATTTGAAGATTAAATTCACTTCTTTTTCCCTACTTCTAGCATTCATAGTAAGAATAAGAATGATTACTCATTGACTTTATGTTTCATGCCATTGGTTATCTAAATTTTCACAGCCATAATACTATAACTGAAATGTGTGTTGCAAATAGTTTGAATCAAAAAGGAATTTTTCTATTCAAAAAGGGCTAAATTTACACTAAGGAACGGAAAGGAAAAACAAATGGAAATAAACAGAATAAGAATAAAGAAAACAAGAAAATAGGAGGGTCTTTCTCATTTTCATTGTGGTCACCTCTTGTCCAACTTAGTATTCTTCTCAGCATCAATTTCCTCCTGTGTAGGTGGTCTTCTCCTTAGCTGATCTTTCAATCTTCTTATGTCAGCTTCAGGGAGTCACTTCTCAACATCCTTCAGTAGATCACTGATTACAGCATAGAGGTGTTCAATGCTGGATCTCATCATTATCATGCCATTGTGAATGTGCACCAGCTGCCCTTCAACATCCAGCTCTCTATTTTCCAGCTGGTAAATTCTCTCCTC